TAAAAATCAATAGATGCTTAGTAACATGTGGTTATCAGCGGGAAATGATCGCAAACCTGACCCACAGGATTGAAGTTTTTTTTTTTCCTGTAGCCTTTCCACTTAGCTGCAGAGAGAGAGAGCAAGAGAGCACACATCTTTCCTGCTGTCTCCCATCATGGAAGCACTTATGGTGTATTAGTGGCCAGCCTCAGTCCGAAGAGACTTTTTTTTTTTTTTTTTTTTTTTTTTACTACCAAGCAGCCAGACGTATTAAAAGTGGCTGTTAAATGAATGTCAGCACTGTGGATTTATATAGGTCATCTTTGTTTTGGTTTACATTCAGGACCAGATGATTGTTTCCACAGCATGCCGTCCGTCTCTAATAGATGCTCTAAAACAGCAGAAGTCTGTCTACCAGAAGTCAGATGTAAAGTTACTTTTCTTTCTTTTGTTCGTTCCTTCCTTTCATTCTTTTGTTTTATCTTACTTTGGTTCCCTCTTCCTTTGGTTCATTTGTTCAATCTTTCTCTCGTTCCATTTTTCTTTGGTTCTTCGATTTTGGCTCTCTTAGGTTCCATCTTCCTTTGGTTCTTTGGTTCCATCTTTCTTTGGTTCTTCGATTTCATCTCTCTTTGGTTCCATCTTTCTTTGGTTCTTTTGTTTTATCTGTCTTTGGTTCTTTCTTTCTTTGGTTCTTTGACTGGTCCTTTATTTCATTCTGTCTCTAATAGATGCTCTAAAACAGCAGAAGTCTGTCTACCAGAAGTCAGATGTAAAGTTACTTTCCTTTCTTTTGTTCGTTCCTTCCTTATGTTCTTTTGTTTTATCTTTCTTTGGTTCCGTCTTTCTTTGGTTCTTAGGTACCTCTTCCTTTGGTTCATTTGTTCAATCATTCTCTCGTTCCATCTTTCTTTGGTTCTTTCGTTCCACCTTTCTTTGGTTCTTCCATTTCCTCTCTTTAATTCCACCTTTCTTTGGTTCTTCCATTTCCTCTCTCTTTAATTCCATCTTTCTTTGGTTCTTTGCTTCCAACTTTCTTTGGTTCTTCCATTTCCTCTCTCTTTAATTCCATCTTTCTTTGGTTCTTTGCTTCCAACTTTCTTTGGTTCTTCCATTTCCTCTCTCTCTGGTTCCACTTTTCTTTGGTTGGTCCTTTCTTTCGTTCTGTCTTTCGTTCTTTCTTTCTATCAAGGACCAGCTTTAAAGTTATGAATACACTCAGCATTTACAAGGTAACATCAGCCATGTTTGATTTGTCAACTTTAGTTTTGACTGTTAACAGAATTTCTAACAGGTCTGATTCTTATTTCTGTCTGCTGAGGCGTCCTTGAGCCAGACAATAAGCTCCACACAGCTCTTGGGGTGTGTATGTGGAGAAAAAAAAACATTCACTTTGGACAAATGGTTCTGCCAACTGAATGAAATGTGGTGCCATTAGGCTCCTCTCCACTCAGTGAGCATGCACAGTCCTGCATCCTGATGTGGGCATTATGTCACTAGTACACTTAAAGACATTTAATCCAAACAAAGAGACGTTTCGTCAGGGTAAGGAACCAGGTCTACATCGCTGATGGGATTACGCCTCATCATTGTTATCTATCAGCCATCACTTATAGCCTTGTTTTGATTCTTCCTCTGTTATGTTCCACCAGTCCTGAACCATTGCCAGGTCCATCGGATTGCTGCTGTTGTTTACCAGTGTTACAGTGATGTCACTGGTCCTGACTCCGTCACGGTGGAGAGCTTCAAGCCGGTGCTAACCAAGCTTGGCAGGTCCATACAGGTGAGCTGCTGTTCTCTTGTCGTCCAAGTTTTTTTTTTTTATTCTGGGCGGGGGGGCGAGGGTCAAAAATGGAGGATGTACAGAAATGTCCAGCAACCCAGTGATCTGGCTGAGCTCCAGCCCTGGCTGTAACTGCAAACTTCTGACAGCTGATGGGATTAGGTTTTATAATTAGAGGAGCTGCTTGTGCCATAAGCATTTTCCTTTTCTTTTTTTTTCTTCTTACAAAATCCAGCGTCTCTGTTTTCCAAGTTTAAATCCTCTCAGCTTTTTTTTCATATAGGATTTTGTTTCACAATTCCCTCCAAGAGAAAACCAACTGAAAGCATTAAATTTAACACATGCTGCCAAATATCCATCCATTATCTATAGCTGCCTTATAAGGTGGCTGGTGCCCATCTCCAGCATTCATTAGGAAAGAGGCACGGTACAACCTGGAGCAGTCACCAATCCATCACAAGGAAACGTTGAGACACAGGGGACTAATAATTGCACACACAAATCTAACAGTCATGCATTTGACAGTAGGAGGACCCTGGAGTGGAACCAATGCATGCAGGCTAAGATTCTAACCTTATGGCTCGTCATCACAATATCAGTGTTTTCAAATATTCACATTGCAAAGGATGTTTGGAGAGAGGAAGCTTTGTGTTGTGGACTAGCATTTTGCATGCTAATGCAATATTTAACGAGTCTCACTGCAGCAGATGCTCACACACTATTGTCCAAATTGGCAAAGGTTACAGAGTGATGGAAGCACAGTTGAAACGGAGAGGAAAGGAAAAGTAATAGCCAAGTGTTATAACATAATTCTGCAAGGCGATGCAACTACACCTGTAAGCTGGCAGATTAATCTGAAAAAAATTAACTGCTTCTTGTCCAAGTGTATATTATTTATGCATGTTTAACAACATGTTGAATCAAAGTAGGAAAAAGTGGAATACTGCTAGGTCTAATGAAAGTTTATAAAACAGAGATCACAATAATTATAATAAATTCAAACATTTTCAAAAGTTTATTTTAATTCAGTTGATGCACAAAGTGAAACATTTCTGATATTTTCTGTTAATTGTGTCCATTTTCCACCTGCATCTAATTAAAAAACACTGCAGTTCTTGTTCTTGTTGCTTGAGCACCTTTCTGTTTTAGCTTTTTTCCTTCCACTGAATTTTCCATTAAGAAGGCCAGCTATCTGAAACATGCAGCTTCTGTAGTAATTACTTTTTATACTTTACCCTGCTGGTGTATACTGTCCAGTCAACAGTCTTATTCATTTTTAGGCTGTAAAATATATTGCTTTTAAAACATTTTTGAGGTAGAATGTGTATAAACTCTAATTTAGAAAGACCAGCTTATTATAAATGTGAATATTTTATTAGATCTTCAATAGTTTAGTTCAAGTCCTTAGAGAATTTGTTTTATTACAAAAGATTTAGAGTGGTTGACATTTCACTTAGATATATAGATTTTCTGTTGCTTTCTTAAATGTTCTGAATTTTATTTCCCTTCCCAGGTGGACTCATCTCCAAGCACAGACGTCCTGCTCAAGTTAATCAGAAGCACTGAAATTCAAAGTAATCTTTATATCTGAGACAATCCACTCTGTAACTCAGTTCATTCATGTGATAAAATACTGTTGCTTTTTTTTTTTAAATAAAGATATTTCTTCAACAGGATCTTTCTGTTAATAGTTTTATTTGTTCAATCATATTTCGACGAACCTTGAGTTTTTAATATTTACATTTTTAATCATTTGATTTATCAATAAAAACATGTAAAAATATGTCAGCATCTTGGTTTTCACAGGAAAAATTCCAACATTAGTTTTTTTCAGTTGTTAAGGTTAGAGAAACAGTAGAAGTGAAGATTGTGAGAGCAATAAATGTGTCCTGTCTTTCCAGGCTATGTACATGTACATGTATTGTTTTGTTTTTTTTCTCATCATGGATGGGCTGAAACAAGGCAACAATTATTTTCCTGAACAATCCAACCAGATGCTTTATTTTATTTTATTTTTTTCACTTTTCCTTATATGTAGCACCACCTGCTGGCTGAGTGGTTTAGGTTTGTTTCAATAAAAAAAATAAAATCTCATCTGCAACAAAACAAACAAACAAAAAAAAAAGTAATAAAACAAAAACAAAAAAATCCAAAACACATTTCCATCATAATTACAGACATGGGATAAAAACCCATAGAAAGCAAAGTGAATAACACAGTTTAAGATATTAATTTGCTCAATCAGAAGACATCAATTATAATAAATTGGTATAAATAGTAAGAGGGTCATGTAATAGTAAAAATAGACATAAGAAACATCTTTATTGTGTTGTAATTGCAGCTTATGTTCATGAAGTTAAATAAAAGTCTACAGAGCTAATGAAAAATGTTATTAAAGGTAAAGATCTAAAAAATGGCGAGAAAGACAAAACTATTAAAGTGCCAATCCTTTTTTTATATTGTCTAGTTGAAAATAAAGGTTTAAATACAAGATTTTCTAACATTTATTAAAGTAAATAGTCAAACATGGCTGCTACATGTGAGATTGAAGCTCTGATTCAGTTTTATCTTTGAAAACCCCGAAGCCTCTTGAATGAGAGGCGAAACATCTAGAAAACTTAACCTCCAGTTGCTTAAACTGACCTTTTCAAGCTTGATTATGACCTGCATGACAGAATCTTCACATATTTGCAAACCTTTATTCTGGACACTCAGACCTCTAATTATCACTATAATTGTTCATAACTCTTTTTAAGTTCCTGAGCCTGTTGAAATAGTTGCTCGAAGATTCACCTGTACATGAATCAATAACAGTTCAGAATGCCTCAGGTTAACCAGAAAATGCTTTGGTTGGAAACATTTTGCATAGATTTTAAAAATGTTGACACAATTTAAATAGAAGACTAGATATTTTACGTTATATATATTTTTTTGTACGTCTTTTTTTTTTTTTTTTTTACAGGCTGTTAGATAAATCTCATTACAGATGTTCAGTGTCTCCTCCAGTCCAGATGGGGGCAGCAGTGAGACGCTTGACAAACTTCAAACAGACCGATGGAGCGATATTCAAACAAACTGTTGCTACGGTCTGTTCCGCTCCGTTTTTCTGCACAGCAGATGCTTTTCAATTTATTTTCCTTTTTTACAAATTTTATTTAATTTAAGTGTGTCGAATTAGCCAATTTAACAGTTTCTTTATGAAACTGTTAAATTGCTGTTAAACTTAGCATTTAACAGCAGCGTTTTCTGTTACCGATGAGTGCTAACCGTGTTAGAACTCCGAAAACCTGCAGGAAGAAATTCCCAGGGACCAGGAGCAGCCTGCAGGTTCCCTTAAAGGCCAGTAAGGTGCTGGCTGAGAGGAACCAGGCAGTGGTGGCGGTTGGAGCCTGGGTGGAGGACGGACAGGATTTCCTAGAGCACCCGGCTGTAAGTTTGGCTTTTAGGCGGAAACGTTACCAAGGCGTTGCGTCTGGTCTCTTCTTGTAACTGACTCCATAAAGTTTGTAACCACAACATTAAGAAATATTTTTTTTATTTTATATAAAAAAGAAGAAATTATTAATTTAACCCAAATGTTTAGCTGGACTTAATTGAAAATTCACCATCCTGCTGAAGATATCCCTTGTTTATTTTTTCCTGGGTTGTTCTTAAACAATGAGACATAATTCTGCCTGCCACCTTTCTCTTTAAATACTTTAGATAATTTATATAAACTTATATTAAGAGTGTTGAACTGTTGAAAAACTCTAAACCGAGTCCAGGGCTGTGAACCCATTGGGAGTGAGACTCA